CACGAATATAAACGAGCGTTGTCGGTGCGCGTTCGGGGAATCGAAGGAAAAATGAGATATACGGCCGATCCGAGCGACAGGCGTACTCCATTTTTATATCCGGCGATTCGAACATTTTTAGGAAAACCTGTTTTTCCACCTATTTCCCACCATCTATTCCGTGCACGGCGAATTTTTCCCGAGCGTACTCGATTCGCGAATCGAATCGACAAATTCTCTTCGATTTTTCCACGTTCGCATTTCCGTGGAAAATTGATTTCCCCCCTCCCTCGCTCCCTCCGGTAATTGCTCGTACACGCGACTCGTTTGCAACGAGTTGTGGTTTAAAGGGAAGGCCGAGAAACAGCGGAATTATTGCTTGGCATGGCGTTCGAACATTTCATTAAACTGGCGCGCTGACAAACGTGCGGGATAGCGGGGAACAGGCAGGAAGCCGACGTCAGCGGAAGTACTTTTAAAGGTAACTCGTCGTGGGCCAACAATTTCGCTCCCTCTCTTTATCTCTCTCTTTCTCTTTCACCGAGAACGTGATTAGTATGTCACGGAAAACGCGTGAGAATGTCTCTGTGTGTGTGTGTGTGTGTGTGCTAATGACGGACGGGTTAATTCAATCGCTCTTCCATTCCGTTTCCCTTTATATTTTCGAACGAAACTCGATCGAAGAGATCCGAGCGTCGAATCGTAGAGACGATCGATTTCAGAGAGGCGATTCGATTCCTTACGCGTGTACGCGTTTCGCATTCGTTCTTGGCTCAAAGGGAGTGCGACGTCGTTTCGTTCGATCCATTTCATCCGAATCCGAGATATCGATATCGATCGTTCCGTTGTTACGTAATAAAAAAAAAAAAAAAAAAAAAAAAAAAAGAACGAAGAGAGAGAACGCGTACAAAGAGACGAGCATAACCTTGGACGAGCAGTGAACGATGATATTTCCCGTGTATTTCAATCGCGTGATTCATTTTTCGCGTGGATTCGAGCGCGAAAAAATATTTCCGTCTCATTATCGATCCACCTTCCGCTCGGCGAGTCGAGAGAGAGAAAAAAAAGAGAGGAATACACGCTGCGTTATTTACGATATCGTTAGCAACTTGCGAAGATCGATAATGCGGATTTTGAAGAGGAATTATCGTTTATTTGAAGAAAAAGGGGACGCGATATCGATTTAAATAAGAGAAATCGAGGATGGGTCGATCGTAGATAATTGAATTTCAAAATGTGTTGTATGGAAAATTTTAAACGACGAGGATTTATTATATACGTAATCGCAAAGTTCGTTCTCCAAGTATACTTGACCGTCTCGGATCGTCTCTTTTTTGTTTTTTTTTCCCCTTTCTTTTTTTTACCACTCGTTTTTTTCATCCAGTTGCCGTTCCAATTGCCTCTCCGCAATTCAACCTAATAGAAATTCACTTGTTGATTTTCAAACGCGACACAGGGCAAAGGACTTCCGTTTCATTATGGAGATTTTTAACTATCTAATTATTATTCATCGCCGCCCGAGTCGTAACACGCAAATTATTCCGAGAAATTATTCTAGGGAGTCTATTAAAATCTCTCTACTCTCTTCCCCCTTCCCCTCCACTTCTTTCCTCTCTTTTCACCGTTGCGGAATTAGGGGCGAAAGGTGTAGCATTATCCCATCGAGAGGGATGATATTTGCAATTACATAAATTTTATGACGGTTGAAATTGAACTCTTCTCTCCTCTCCTCAGTGGTGGGAGACCATCGTCATCTGTAACGCCAATAAAAATGGAAATATTCTCAACTCTCCTCTGTTCGACGCGCACCCAATTACAGGTCATCCCGATTTTACCCCCCCTTTTTTTTTTTTTATTCGGTTCTTGGCAAATATGTGCGAACCGTCGCGTCGTCCGATCGATAAACTCTACATTTTTCCTTGCATTTTAATCTGCCTGCGAAACACGCATCAAACGATCACGCGCCTCGACACGCTACTATTACTAGTCTATTCATACCGCGTTTGTATATTTATCGCGTCACCTCTCGCATTCCCGTAGAAATACGTATAATTTATATCCATCCTACCGTTTCAACTCGTGTCTTTTTCACTCAAGAATAAGATTTCTCCTAATATCTCGACATTTTTCTCCAGCCTCTTCCCGAGTACTTAAGAGATATCTGTCACCGATGGAACGTTATAATTTCACTTTCTTTTTTTCCTTTTTACCGTCAGGACGTGGAATTACTGGAGGGAACGATTCCGTCGGAGGCGATGGAAGTCGAGGTCTCTCATTGCAGGGAGTTGAGGATCCAGTCGGGCGCTTTCGCGGACGGAGCACCTTTGAAACGCGTCCACGTGTCCGGGATCTACAGCCTGGTGGCAAAGAGACAGGCGTTCCAGAACTTGAGCGCCCCTAACACGCATCTCGAGGTGTCCGAGTGCAACAGCGTGATCCTGGAAAGCCACGCGTTCAGGAACTCGCGGGGGACGCTGAGCGTTTCGATATCCAGATGCAGAAACGTAGGGATCAAGCCGAACGCCTTCTCCAGGCTGCTCTGGATCACCGTCAGGGAGGTGCCGACCCTCGAGCTGTCCAGCAATGCGTTCAAACTCGAAGCTTCTCAACACGGAAGGCATGGACCAGCGACCAAGGTCATCTATCGCGTTGATCAGATTTTTGTTTTCTTAAATCTTCTTAAATCTATATATATACGTTTCATCTGCACGTTTATAAAAATGATTTGTCTATTTCTACCCCTCGTTCGACGAGGATAAATAAACACGGCGACAACGCTTGGGAAAATTTGGAATGTGTAGTGGCTGGCCAGTTTCGAACGATAATCTCCATTTCTCGAATTCCCTTTGCGCAGATTATGTTCCAAAGCGTGAGAATCACGGAGTTGCCGACAGCGGTGTTCCCATCGGCGGTTGCAGAGGTCCGCATGGACGATATCTGGACAAAGGTGATCCGCAAGAACGCTTTCTGCGCCATGACGATCTTCAGCGTGACCATAAGCAACGCGTCGATCCTGGAGATCGAGACTGGGGCGTTCAGCGACAGAGCGTTAATCCACAGCCTCGAGTTCGTCGACGTCAGATTGAAGAGTATAGAGAGAGGAGCCTTCCGGGCTGGCCACGACAACCTCACCATACAATATTCAAGGTAGAGTTCCTCGTCTCCCTTTGTCTCGCTCGCTCGCTGTTTGTTCAGAGAGATCTCCCATGTTTGCGTTCCTCCTTGCGATCGTCGCGTCGTTACGTCGCTCGTTTCCAACCTCGAAAACCGAAAGATATATAAAGAAAATCCCCACCATTTTCTTCAATCTTTCAATCGAGAAAAATTAATTACGTATCGTATGACGACGAACTCGAGCGAGACGAGCTCCGTTTCCTTTTTCCACGCGCAAACAATTCAGAGCACGAACGTTCCTCTCGCGTTCGCAGGCTGTCCGAGGTGGATACCGGCGCTATCGACATATCCGCCGCCACCGTCAGCTTCAACAACAACGAGTTCCTGAATCTGCACCAAGGCGCGATCGTCCTCCACCAGTGGAACCACATAGCCATCGATTACAATCTGTTCGTCGAGTTGGAGACGGACGCGATCACGGCAGAGGTGGACGCGACCTCGGCGCCCAACTTCGAGTTCTCCTTCACGGGGAATCACGTGGAGAAGGCGAGGGCTGGCTCGTTGAGATTCGCAGCGATCTCTCAACGGGTGAACACGGCCAGGGTAGGTAACAATTACTTCAAGGAGCAGTGCAGATGCGGCCTAGACGATTGGATACGGGACGTGACGGGGAAGAACAGCTCCGTTTCGTGGATGATGGACTCGAGTTTCTGCGTGGTCGATCAACTTCTCGACAAGTGTTTCAATCTACCCCAGGGCTACATGTCGATGAGAAACTTCACGAGGATCATTTGCGCGCCCGGGGATCACATCGTTTGCGAGAAACCGTCCGCGAAACCCGAGCCGACCGTCAGCCCGCCGAGCGTCGGCCCCCACGTCNCGAGGAGTTGACGGAGGAGTACCTGAGGGACCTGAGGGAGAGGTTGAACGATCCCGACAATTACAATCAGGCGAGGGACATGATAGAGCATCTGTACGATCTGATCAAGGTGGAGGAGAGTTGCAACAACAACAACAACAACGACGACGACGACGATCGGGACGAGGATCGGCAAGCGCCTGGCCGAGGGGAGGAGAACGCGTACGACGCGATCGAGCCGAGGCGGAGGAGGTCGAGGGGAGCGGCGAAGCCGTCCGTCGTCAGCGTGGGCACGAAAGCTCCCTCGTTGGAGAAGCTGTTGCCGAGCGGGATACAGGCCAGGCCCCCTCTCACCGAGTACACCGAGCCCCGCGACCGAAGGGCCGCCGAGCAGAATCACCTGTACGCCGAGCTGCCCGGCGACGAAACCGTTCCGAGCACCAGTCGACTCTCTCAACCGATCCTCGCCACCTTGGCCGGGAGAGCGCCTCAACCGTTGCCACCGGACGTCGTCAACGATCATCTTCTCGCCAACGATCATCGTCGCGCGACGATGATCAAGGCCGAGAATCGTCAAAGGCCACCGGACAGTCCAAAGTTCGAGCCCCCTTCGAAAATTCAGGCCAGACCTATGAGCTTCCTGAAGGCTCTCGGCGAGAGCATCCTCCAAGTCGGGTCCAAGTCGACCACGAGCTGCAACGATACTACTACCAACGCCAACAATAACAACAACAACAACAACAACAAAAGGCCCAACTCGTTGCTCTGCGAATACGCCGAACCGTCCGACGCCACTGCCCACTTGTACTCCGAACTACCCGAGCCGCAAACCTCCGCTCCAACGAGCAAGATGGCGAACAGGCCATTACCCACCAAACCCGACCAAGATTCCGTGAACGTGGCGAGGGCATGACGAACGCCCTTCGTCGATTGTCTGTGATAATGTAAAGTAGAGCTGCGAGAGACTATTGTTCGCGTAAATCGCGCTCTTTCTCTCTTTCTCTTTTTTCTTTTCCTAATGATTCGTTCATCGTCGAGCAACGATGAATACGCGATGAACCCGAGTTTTCGAGTTTCTTCGACGAGTTTCTTCGTCGGGAAGAAACAGTGCCAGATCGACGATCGACGATCGATCGAGTAATTTTTTAACGGTATTAGTTTAATATGCTTTTGTAAAAAAAAAAAAAAAAAAAAAAAAA